CCACCGGACCTGCCGCCTGGAGAGTGTTGGTTGGGTCTTCAGGTACTTGAGGCTGCAGTGGTCGGTGTAGACAGTCGTTTTTCTTCCTTCGAGATAACACCTCCGTGCCTTAAATGCGTTGACGATGGCGAGGGCCTCTTTGTCATGGATGGGGTAATTGAGTTCTGCCCCGTGAAGTTTTTTACTGAGGTATGCAATGGGTTGCAGTCCCTTCCCTTGATCCTGCATGAGTACTGCGCCCACTGCTTGATCGCTAGCATCGGCCTCGATGACATAGTCAAGTTCAGTGTCTGGCAGGATAAGAACAGGTGCGGACGTGAGTGCGGTTTTAAGTTGTTCCACTGCTTCCTGGTGCTTCGCCTCCCATTGATATGGTGTATTCTTCTTCAACAGGTTCGTTAATGGTGCGGCAATCTTGGCCTAGTTCGGTACGAACCGGTTGTAGTAGTTGGCGAATCCAAGGAACTGTTGTAACTCCTTCACGTTCTCAGGGGTCTTCCACGTTCGCACTGCTTCGATCTTCTTAGGATCCACGTGAACTCCTTGAGCGCTCACCATATGTCCAAGGAACTGGACTTTTTTCAACGCAAACTCGCTCTTGGATAGTTTCACGTAGAAGCGTTCTCGTCGAAGAATTTCAAACACCCGTCGTAGATGCTCAACGTGCTGCTTCATATCTTTCGAATAGATCAGGATATCGTCCAAATATACCACCACGCACTCGTCCAGAAGGGGCCGAAGGATGTGGTTCATTTCCGCCTGAAATGTGGCTGGTGCGTTAGTGAGTCCAAATGGCATCACGAGATACTCGTATGACCCGTACCGAGTTCGAAAAGCGGTTTTGTGGATAGAGTTGTCCGCCATACGAATTTGCCAGTATCCCAATCTGAGGTCGAGCTTGGAGAATACCGTAGCACCGCGAAGTTGATCGAGTAAGTCGTCGATCCGTGGTATCGGGTATTTATTTTTTACAGTCTGCTTGTTCAAGGCTCGGTAGTCGATGCACATTCGCAGACTTCCGTCTGGCTTCGGAGTGAAGAGAACTGGAGCTCCGTACGGCGAAGTCGAAGGTCGAATCAGCCCTTTCTCCAGGAGATACTCTATTTGTTTTTTCATATCGGCAAGCTCTGTCGGGCTCAGCCGGTATGGTGTTCGAAATGTTGGCTTGGACCCCGGCTCTTCTACGATCTCGTGTTGATGTGTCCGGTATGGCGGTAGTTGATCAGGTAAATCGTCGGGGAGAACGTCCTGGAACTCTTCAAGAATTTTCTTGACTGCTGGAGGAAGTTCCTGGGTCTGCTTCTCTCCGTTGTCTGCCTCGTTGACTATCGCCATGAATCCCGCCGTGGTCCGTTTGACGTTCTTTTCAAAGCGTGCGAGTGTCTCGACTGGAATATTTCCCGTGTCGTCCCATTTGGGAAGGCTGATTTTCCTCTCGTTGTTGTTGATGTTGGCCGTCTGGTTAACCCAGTTGATCTCGGGGTTGAACTTCTTAAGAAAGTCTCTCCCGAAGATTATGTCGAGTCCTTTGATATTTGTGACGGGGAGAGCAGGCTTCCATCGAAGGGGTCCAATCTGGAGTAGCAACCGTGTTTCCCCGTAGATCGGTAGCTTACCGCCATCCACCATGGTTGCAGAGAAGCTTGAGGACTTGATGTCACTTCCGAGTCGATCGATTGCCTTTTTGTCATAGACGCTGTGCAACGCCCCGCTGTCCACGAGTGCTTGGAGGCGCTGTCCGTTGCAGATCACCTCGAGCAGGAGTGGTGAGCGTTGCTCGGAGTACCCAAAAATAGTCTCATTAATAGGATCATAGGGTACATCCCAATATTTAGTACACACCGTGGTTCCACTGCTTTCTTTTGGACAACTAGCTGGCCTTGGCTGCGTGGAGAAAGGCTCTTCTCCAACGCCAGGAGTAGAGGTAGTAACCGTACAAGTTGACCCTGAGGGGGTGGATCCGGTCGACGCCTGCGATCCACTGGATGCATCCTTGAGGGGTTTTCGGAGTTTCTGCAGCTTCTTTTGAACTCCCAGCTGCCTCTTCAGCTGCTTCAGTTCCATAGACTTCTTCCCTGGGGAGTGGAGAGTCGTCTTGGGCAAGTTCCGGGAGAGGACGTTGACGCCGTGAAAAGGTCTACTCCTTTCCACACTCCTTAATTTTTTCCCCAGATCCGTAGGCACCGGTACCACTTCTTTAATTGTTTGCTTCCTCTGGAGTTCTTCCCGGAATTTGTTTATGGCTCCGGACCAGCGAAAATCGCCAGTCTTCATTAAAGCATCTTTGAAAGATAACTTTAACGAATTCTGTTTTTTTCCGGGGTCGAATTGGAGAGTTCCCGTCTTGGTCGAGTCTGTTTTCGCGGAGGTTTTCTTTTCCTCGGCGAATTCCTCTGACAAATTTCGGTCAAGGGGCTTGGGATTTCGCCCTTGATTCTCCAAATCTCGCACCTAATGCTGTCCTTCAATTTCGATTCGGTCCAGATTGCGCTGACGCTTTCGGATCTGTTTTTTCTCGCCAGCACGATCCGCAATCACTGGCGAGATCCGTTTTTTGACTTTTTGTCTTTAGTTTCGCCACTCCCACGAGCTCGGAATGCCGCACGTGCAGATTTCATGTGAAAACAGTCGACAATGCGATGTCCGTTTCCGCCGCAAAATTCACAAAGTGTTTTGTTTTTTGCAGGACGTGAACTCGCGTCGAATTTGTCGACTTCCATGGGGTCGGCGAACGTGGTTGAAGCCGAGCGATCCCCTTGTCGTGATCCAACGACGTGGGGTCGTCGTGTCCCGGAGTTGACCAAGTCAAAACGCTCCGCGGCCGATACGATTTCGCTGTAACTGCTGCAATTCGCTGCTGCAACCTGGCGCCGAATGTCGGTTTTCAGCCCCGCGATGTAGGACTGAATTTTATCGCCCTCGGTAATGTCGGGAATGCGATTATAAAATTCCTCCATCTGCTGCGTGTATTGTGCGTGTCAGAACATTATAGCTTACTTGTTTGTGTAGGCTATAGTGGGGTATCCCATAGGGGGTACAACCGAATTAGGGTTTCCTATTTGTACTCACCTCGTTCGTAGTCAATTCATTCACGTTTCTATTCTCACATGGAATCAGAGCAGGTCCCATCCTAGGGACTGTTCTCTAGGGCCCACCGATGTGAAGAAGTGAACGAGAGAATGGGAATGACTATGAACGAAGTGAGTACAAATAGGAAACCCTAATTGGGTTGTACCCCCTATGGGATACCCCACTATAGCCTACAGAAACAAGTAAGCTATATGTTCTGACACACCCCCATAGGCAAAGTGGGGGAGAACAAGGGGTCACAAGACCAGTCAAGCAAAGCAAAGCAAAGCTCAGGGTGGATCACAAAGTCGCCACGCATTCCGAGCACAAGTTCAGAGGCCACACGGCCAGTTCACATGCAAGATCATATATAGAGGTATACAAGAGTCAAGCAAGCAAGAGCAAGAGTATATATATGCGAAGGTACAAGCAAGGTCAAGAGGAGAGCAAGTGAGGCAAGACAGGCACAAGACCCAACTGCGTGCAGCAACGCTGATGATCACAAGGCGCAAGTGCCTTGGTGAAGACATCAGCAGTGTTGGCCTCAGAGGCCACGTACGCAAGTCGCAACTGTCCACGCAGCTGGAGAAGCACGAGGGGACAGCTTGTCCGCAGACAGGTCGCGAACAAACGCCCGAGATCCCCAGACCCGGAACGCCGACGCATCGCCAACCTTCCCCGTCCACAGCAGGGCTGGGGAGGTCTCCGGTCGAGAGACCCTGGGGTGGAGGTTGATCTGGTGCGCAGCGTACCTGACCGCAAACGGCCACAGAAAATGGGGAGCAGCCGCATGCATCATGGACGTACGAGCGACGTCCATGACCATGCCAATGCGGCGCTCAGCAATCCCATTCTGCTGTGGTGAGTCCGGAAGCGTGAAGGTCTGACGGATGCCTCGCGCACGACAGTAGGCACTCAGGAGGCCGGATGAGAACTCTCCGCCTCTGTCCGAGTGCAGACGCAAAACAGGGAAGTCAGAGCCAAAGCTCCTCCGAAGCTGGAGACGAGCTGCGCGGATCCAGTCGATCAACACCTCAGTGACCTCACCCTTGCTGCGCAAGGGAAAGACTGTGGTGTAACGCGAGTAGTCGTCAACCACCAGCAGGAAGTAGCGCTCCTGACCCTGTCCACGGACGCGGGCTGGGCCCCACACGTCCATGTGAAGCGTCTGCAACGGGGCCTCTGTGGGAGGAAACTGGGAGGAGTGAGGGGCAGCACGCTGGCGCCCCTCGACACAGGGGACACAGGTGGGGCCAGGGCCCGGAGGAAGGGGAGGGAAAGACCGGGGAAGACCAGACACAAGGACTCGCGAGGCCATGCCTCTGAGCCGAAGCAGAGAGGGGTGGCCAAGGCGGTGGTGCCAGAGGAGGGTCTCGTGAGACAGACGACGACACGAGCAGGGGGCAGACTCAGGACCAGACCTGGACGCTGCAGCAAACACCTGACCAGACGAAGGGACCCTACCAGACTCAGCACCTGGAGGAGAAGCAGTGGTCAGTGTGTACAGGCTCGACCCTGGCCGACGTGTAAACGTAGCCAGGTGGCGACCTGTATCCGCCTCCGTGCAGTGGGTCACCCGCTGACGAGCAGGGGTGAACTGGTGGACACCCGCATCCTGGAGGTCAGCACCACTCACCAAGTTCGTCGAGAACGAGGGGAGGTAGAGACCAGTCAGGGTGCCAGAGGGGGCCGCCGGACACGGGAGGACAGTGGAGAAGCGAGCCAGGACAGGCCCCCCAGAGGGGTCAGCCAGGGACACTGCAACCGGCCGACTCAGCGGCGTGAGAGTGGTGCGGTCCCTAAAGAAGGAGCGAGACGCTCCAGAGTCAAGGGTGAAGGTGTGAGAGGCCGAAGCCGACACAGTACCTGAGAGGGCAGACTCACCAGCACCTGAGAGCACAGACGCACTGGCACCTAGAGCAGCAGCCTCACTAGTACCTGACGCGGCAGTACCAATGCCCGGGTCGGGCGGGAAACACCGGTAACAGTCATCCTCATCACTACCAGTCACAGCATACATAGCAGAGAGAATAGCATCAAAATCAAGATCATAAATAGCTACACCAGCCCTAGACAGCTCTCCCCAGCGGGGGATCTCAGCGGCCTCCGGAAACTGCTGACGCCAGGCGTCGGTCAGGCGGCCAAAGCAGCGGCGGGCTGTGTGGGCGCCTCCACACCTCTCCCCTGCACGGTCACCGGTGCGAAGAACGTAGGGGCAGGGACCAAGCGCACCACCACGCTGACGCTGCAAGTACCACTCACGGAGCTGCTGAGGGCCGGGGACGGTGCGAGAGCGCTGCTGCTGCTGTGGCTGCTGCTGCGGCTGCTGCTGCTGCTGCTGCTGCTGGCGCTGACCACCCCCAGAGCTGCTCCGCTGGGACGAGCCACTCCGACCCCCGCCTCCACCGCCACCCCCGTCTCCACCGCCACCTCCCCCACCAGGACCGTCGCTCCCACCGCTCCCACCGCCTCCTCCGCTACCACCTCCGCCGCCACCTCCGCCTCCACCGCCACCACCAGTACCTCCACTCCCGCCACCACTCCCACCGCCACCCCCACTCCCCCCGCCACCCCCACCGCCTCCTCCACCGCCCCCTCTAGCTCCACCCGCTCCCTTGCCCCCTTTGCCCTTGCCAGAGCGGCGTCTGCCGCTGGGGGCAGACGCCGCGCCGACCGACTCAAAACCAGTGAGGTCGGCCACAGCGGCAGAGGCGACAGAGGGCAGCAGGGGGGAAGGACCACACCCCTCAAAGATGGGGGTGCGAGGGTCACCTCGAGAGGCCCCTACAGCGACAATACTCTTCTCAGCCGCTAGCAGGGACTCCTCAAGGAGGTCGACAGTGAGAGTGGTGGGACAGACAGAGAGAAACTGGTCCCTAACGACACGGAGGGACTCAGGGAGACGGGTGACAAGAAAGTAGAGAGTGATGTACATGGGAGGAGGGTTGGCGGCGCGGAACTCAGCAGGAAGGGCAGCGCGGTAGCGAGCGTCACTAGCGCGGAGGTGGGTAATGAGGTCAGCGACAGTGGGAAAGGCAGCGAGGTTAGGGAAGAGAAAAGGGAGCATGAGGCGGCTCAGCGTAGCGGAGGAAGGGGAGGAGTAGCGTGCAACTACAGCGTCGTACAAGGCCTGAGCGGTCTTGCACTGACTAAAGTGGGCACGCTCGGAGGAAGGGAGGTGGCGACGCACAGCAAGACGTGCAGCAGCATCGCGGGTCGCCCACTTGGAGCGAACGGCGGAATCAGCATCAGGAGGAGGGGCAGGGACAGCGCCAGAGACAAAGTCAAAGAGAGAGACCTCATCGACCGCATCACACAGTAAGTACAGCTGCAGGTCGTCAATCCAGACTGCAAAGTCAATGGCTCTACCCTCAGCATCAAAAGCTAGGACATTGGGGGTGGCCATGACAGCAGCTGACAGTCTCACCGGGCAGGAAGAGTCGGGTAGGTCAGCGGCGCAGGTACACAGCCCAGGAGCAGCAGCAGTCCGACAGGAGCAGGAGAGCAGCTCCTCTGGCGGCTCGGGCGGCTCGGGCGGCTCGGGCGGCTCGGGCGGCTAGGGCGGCTCGGGCGGCTCGGGTGGCTAGGGCGGCGCGGGCGGCTCAGGCGGCTCGGGCGGCGGCACGGGCGGCTGGGGCAGCTCGGTGGCGGCTCACGGGCGGCTGGGACGGCGCGCGGGGAGCTCACGGGCGGCTGGGCGGGCGGCCAGGGCGGCTCACGGGCGGCGGCGGCGGCGTCAGCGGCTCACGGGCGGCGTCGGCGGCTCACGGGCGACGGCGGCTCACGGGCGGCGGCGGCGGCGTCGGCGGCTCACGGGCAGCGGCGGCGGCGTCGGCGGCTCACTGGCGACGGCAGCGGCAGCGGCGTCGGCGGCTCACGGGCGGCGTCGGCGGCGTCGGCGGCTCACGCGTGGCGGCGGCGGCGTGGGCTGCTCACGGGCGGCGTCGGCAGCTCACGGGCCGGCTGAAGGCCCACGGGTGGGCGGTGCGCAGGGAGCGCCGGCTCACGGGCGGGCGGCGTGACGCGCGGGCGGCGGGACGGGCGGCGGCGTCACGGGGGGGGGGGGTGACGGGACGGGCGGCGGCGTCACGGGCGGCGGCGTCACGGGCGGCGGTTCACGGGCGGCTGCGTCACGGGCGGCGCTCACGGGCGGCGCTAAAGGGTGGCGACGGGCGGCGGCTCACGGGCGGCGCTACGGGCGGCGGCTCACGGGGGGCGCTACGGGCGGCCGCACGGGCGGCGCTAACGGGCGGCCGCACGGGCGGCGCTACGAGCTGCGCAAAAGGCGGCGCGAACGGGCAGCCGCACGGGCGGCGCTAACGGGCGGCGCTAACGGGCGGCGCGAACGGGCGGCTCGAAAGGGCGGGCGCTAGGGCGGGCGCTAGGGCGGGCACTAGGGCGGGCGCCAGGGCAGAAAAAAAAAAAAAACAAAAAATTCTAGGTGGTGGGCCCGAAGCACAGTTCCCACAGGGGAACCTGCTCTGATTCCATGTGAAGAAGTGAACGAGAGAATGGGAATGACTATGAACGAAGTGAGTACAAATAGGAAACCCTAATTGGGTTGTACCCCCTATGGGATACCCCACTATAGCCTACAGAAACAAGTAAGCTATATGTTCTGACAACCGAAGCGCGCCCCGAGGCGCGCGTTCTTTTTTCTCGCGACCCTCCGTGTCGCCCTTCCCCTCGCGGCCCCGCCGCCTCCTCGACGCGCCTCCGCCGCCTCCTCGACGCGGCCCCTGCCGCCTCCTCGACGCGGCCCCGCCGCCTCCTCGACGCGGCTCCGCCGCCTCCTCGACGCGGCCCCCGCCGCCTCCTCGACGCGGCTCCGCCGCCTCCTCGACGCGGCCCCCGCCGCCTCCTCGACGCGGCCCCGCCGCCTCCTCGACGCGGCCCCGCCGCCTTCTCGACGCGGCCTCGCCGCCTCCTCGACGTGGCCCCGCCGCTTCCCTACCTGCGGCCGTCCCGCCGCCCTGCCTGCGGCCGTCCGCCGCCGTGCCTGCGGCCGTCCCTCCGCCCTACCTGCGGCCTACCCGCCGCCCTACCTGCGGCCTACCCGCCGCCCTACCTGCGGCCGTCCGCCGCCCTACCTGCGGCCGTCCCGTCGCCCTACCTGCGACCTACCCGCCGCCCTACCTGCGGCCGTCCCGCCGCCCTACCTGCGGCCGTCCCGCCGCCCTACCTGCGGCCTACCCGCCGCCCTACCTGCGGCCGTCCGCCGCCCTACCTGCGGCCGTCCCGCCGCCCTACCTGCGGCCCACCCGCCGCCTTACCTGCGGCCCACCCGCCGCCCTACCTACGCGGCCCAGCGGCAGCCGAGCCGCCCAGCAGCGGACGAGCCGCCGAGCCGCCCAGCAGCAGCCGAGCCGCCCAGCAGGCAGCCGAGCCGCCCAACAGCAGCCGAGCCGCCCAGCAGCAGCCGAGCCGCCCGGGAGCCGAGCCGCCCAGCAGCCGAGCGGCCGTGTCGTCTGGCGACCTTCCTCCTGAGCCGCCCGATCTGCCCTGCCCGGTGAGCACTGCACTGCTGTCACTGCGTACCCTTCCCCTACTGCTTGCACTGCGCCACTGTCGTCGTCATGGCTACACCCACTGTCCTCACTTTTGACGCTGAGGGTCGAGCCATTGACTTTGAGGTCTGGCTCGACGACCTGCAGCTGTTTTTACAGTGCGACAGGGCCGACAGTCTGTCTCTCTTTGACCTCACCTCTGGCGCTGTCCCTGCCCCTGCTGCTGATGCTGACGCCACTGTTCGCTCTCAGTGGGCCACACCCGATGCTGCTGCACGTCTTGCTGTGCGTCGCCACCTCCCTACCTCTGAGCGCGCGCACTTTAGCCAGTACAAGAGTGCTCAGACCTTGTACGACGCTGTAGTTGCGCGCTACTCCTCCCCTGCCACTACTGCACTGAGCCGCCTCATGCTCCCCTTCCTCTTCCCTGACCTTGCTGCCTTTCCCAGTGTCGCTGATCTCATCACGCACCTCCGCACTAGTGACACTCGCTACCGCGCTGCACTTCCTGCTGACTTCTGCGCCAAGAACCCCCCCCCCATGTACATCACTCTCTACTTCCTAGTCACTCGCCTCCCTGACTCCCTTCGTGTAGTCCGGGACCACTTCCTTGCGGTCTGTCCCACCACCCTCACAGTCGACAGCCTCGAGAAGGCCCTTCTTGCAGTAGAGAAGAGCATAGTTGCTGTAGGAGCCTCTCGAGGTGACCCCCGCGCCCCCATCTTTGAGGGGTGTTCTCCTTCCCCTCTCCTGCCCTCTGTCGCCTCTGCCGCTGCGGCCGACCTCGTTGGTCTTGAGTCGGTCGGTGTGGCGTCTGCCCCTAGCGGGAGACGCCGCTCTGGCAAGGGCAAGGGGGGCAAGGGAGCGGGTGGGGCCAGTGGGGGCGGTGGCGGTGGAGGTGGAGGCGGCGGAGGGAGTGGGGGTGGCGGTGGAGGTGGTAGTGGGGGTGGGGGTGCTAGTGGCAGCGGTGGCGGCGGGAGTGGCGGCGGCGGTGGCGGTGGTAGCGGAGGTGGCGGAGGTGGCGGCGGTGGAGGTGGAGGCGGGGGCGGTGGAGGCGGAGGCGGGGGTGGCGGAGGTGGAGGTGGTCGGAGTGGGGCTTCGCAGCGGAGCGGCACTGGTGGCGGTCAGCGCCAACAGCAGCAGCAGCAGCAGCAGCACCGTTCTCGTGACGTCCTCACCCCTCAGCAGCTCCGTGAGTGGTACACGCAGCGTCAGCGCGGTGGGGGTTTTGGTCCCTGCACCTACGTTCTCCGAACTGGCGACCGCACTGGAGAGCAGTGTGGGGGTGCCCACCCCGCTCAGCGCTGCTTTGGCCGCCTGACAGACGCTTGGCGGGAGCAGTTCCCGGAGGCCACGGAGATCCCCCGCTGGGGAGAGCTGTCTAGGGCTGGTGTAGCTATCTTTGATCTTGATTTTGATGCTATCCTTGCTGCCATGTATGCTGTGACCACTAGTGAGGAGGGTGACTGTTACCGGTGTTTCCCGCCCGACCCGGGCATTGGTACTGCTGCTCCAGGTGCCGGTGAGGCTTCTGCTCTAGGTGCCAGTGCGTCTGTACTCTCAGGTACTCGTGAGACTGCTCTCTCAGGTACTAGTGCGTCTGCGCTCTCCGGTACTGCGTCGGCTTCGGCCTCCCACACCTTCACTCTTGACTCTGGAGCGTCTCGCTCTTTCTTTCGGGACCGCACCACACTTACACCGCTTAGTCGGCCGGTTGCGGTTTCCCTGGCTGACCCCTCTGGGGGTCCTGTCCTGGCTCGCTTCTCCACGGTCCTGCCGTGTCCGGCGGCTCCCTCTGGCACCCTGTCTGGTCTCTACCTCCCCTCGTTCTCTACGAACTTGGTGAGTGGTGCTGACCTACAGGATGGGGGAGTCCACCAGTTCACCCCTGCTAGTCAGCGAGTGACGCACTGCACGGAGGCTAGCACGGGTCGTCACCTGGCTACGTTTACACGTCAGCCAGGGTCGAGCTTGTACACACTGACCACTGCTTCTCCTCCAGGTGCTGAGTCTGGTAGAGTCCCTTCGTCTGGTCAGGTGTTTGCTGCAGCGTCCACGTCTGGTCCTGAGTCTGCCCCCTGTTCGTGTCGCCGTCTGTCTCACGAGACCCTCCTCTGGCACCACCGCCTTGGCCACCCCTCTCTGCTTTGGCTCAGAGGCATGGCCTCCCATCTTCTTGTGTCTGGTCTCCCCCGGTCTCTACCTCCCCTTCCTCAGGGCCCTGGCCCTGCCTGTGTCCCCTGTGTAGAGGGGCGCCAGCGTGCTGCCCCTCACTCCTCCCAGTTTCCTCCGACAGAGGCTCCATTGCAGACGCTTCACATGGACGTGTGGGGCCCTGCCCGCGTCCGTGGACTCGGTCACGAGCGCTACTTCCTGCTGGTGGTTGACGACTACTCGCGTTACACCACAGTCTTCCCCTTGCGCAGCAAGGGTGATGTCACTGAGGTGCTGATCGACTGGATCCGCGCAGCTCGTCTCCAGCTCAGGCAGAGCTTTGGCTCGGACTTTCCTGTGTTGCGTCTGCACTCGGACAGAGGCGGAGAGTTCTCCTCTGGCCTTCTACGTGCCTACTGTCGTGCGCGTGGCATCCGCCAGACCTTTACGCTTCCGGACTCCCCGCAGCAGAATGGGATTGCAGAGCGCCGCATTGGCATGGTCATGGACGTCGCTCGTACGTCCATGATGCATGCGGCTGCCCCCCATTTTCTGTGCCCGATTGCGGTCAGGTACGCAGCGCATCAGATCAACCTCCAACCCAGGGTCTCCAGGCCGGAGACCTCCCCAGCGCTGCTGTGAACGGGGAAGGTTGGCGATGCGTCGGCGTTCCGGGTCTGGGGATCTCGGGCGTTTGTCCGCGACTTGTCTGCGGACAAGCTGTCCCCTCGCGCTGCTCCCTGCG